CATCTGTAAAATGGAGATATAATAACAAAACTTACCTTAAGCAGATTAGACAAGATCACCCTGTGGACAGCACCTAGACCTGGCATGTAGTAAGGAGGGGTTCTGAAGACAGTGATTGTGGCAGACACCACTGGGAAGTGGAATTGGGTGGAAGGTCTAACTTCTCAGAGCCTTTGAGTCTTGAGACCGCTCTTGGGTTATGGGTGCCATGATGGGCGAGAAGGGCTCTATCCATAGGCGCAAGCAAGGGCCCAGTGACTGGAAAACCAGAGCTCACTCAGGAAATGACTATTGGGGAGCAGGTCCAGGAAGGTGCTAGACTTGGTCCTGAAGGTAGCAAGGCCCATTGATGCTGTGGGAGACAGAAAAACTCCCTTGGGGCTGTGATGTCAAACTCAGGTGCAAGTGGTTAGCAGAAACCTGTGTGTTGGGGCAGGGGTGTGTATATAGAGAGCCCACAAGAGAGGAGACAGTTCTGGAAACCAAAGCAGTGAAGTAGGGATAGAGAGACACCAGGGCCAAGGTGGCTGGTGGTGTGAAATGAAGACAAGCTGGTTTTGAATGGAACTGAAGCCAAAGTCGTGTCTTTCCCATGGAACTGGACCAGAGCTCATGAGGCACAGGGCCACAGGGCCACAGCCCACTTAGATGCCCTAGCTCCACCATGAGCCAACATTGGGACACTAGGAGTCTATTCTCTGTTTCCCTGTCTGTGTCATGATGGGTTGAAGAGTGAGCCCCAAGGGGTCCTCCTTGGAGAGCTGTCTCTGAACTCCCACTCCCCCATCTGTAAAACATGTGTTTCCACATGACTCCTCGGGGGACAGGGGACTACTGATGGCCACTGAGGATATAAAGGCGTACAGGAGTCAGAGAATCCCTTCCTGGCCCTTCAGTCAAATTCTAGGCTTGGGTGCCCCCAAGGATGCAGGCCAGCACAATAGATCTCTTTCCTTCTATGGCCTCTTGAAACAAGAAACTTTGATGCAGGGAGAAGCTTTGGGACTGAAAATCTCAGAATCTAGGCCTTCTCCTGGGTGTGAAAGAAGTTGTCCTTTCCCCCGTCTGTCACTTGTGGTGCAGAGGAAGACGGTGCCAGGAGAGCAGGTGCCACCACTGAGGCTGCCGATGGCTCAGCCTTCAAGATGCCCTGTGCAGGCTGATGACTCCATAGTCTCTGCAGTTCACCGTTCCTGTGTGGTTTACATCGTCTAGGTTATCTAGCCAGCTCTTCTCACTACGCAGCCTCAGACCTTCACCATTCACTCCTCTATCCTGTGAATCCTCTGTCTTCCTCAAGGTCTAGCTCTTTCTTTAAACTGCCAAGTTTGGAACTAAAGGCCAACCCTGTGGGGTGTCCTGTGTCCTCCCTCTTCTTCTTTGGAAGTGGTAGCAGAGACACTCAATAGTGCCACCTTGTGGACTGCTAGGCTGCTGGCCTTGGCTGAACGGACAGAGGCTGAGCTAGGACTGGGCTGCCAGCTGCCCTTGGGTTTGGATCCGTCTCTCTGTAAGGTCACCGAGGGTGGGCGGGCAAGCGTCAGCAGAGGCCTTGGGTACAGCGGTGATCTGACATGCTTCTGGATTGAGTGCTGAGCAAAGCACCCACTGGTGGCTTCATCCCAGGACAGACCCACACCTCCCTCTCCATCATCCTGTCCTCCTCATCCTGCCACAGTCCCCGAAATTCCCAGGCTTATTCCTGCTGAGTTAAGCACTAAAGGCCATGTGACACTACAGGCAGGACTCTGGAGGGTGAAGCATTGCAGTGTTGTACACAGGGACACTGGGATTCGGGGGGCGGGGGTGTTCTGCAGCCTTCCACACAGAAACTCTGCGTCTCCAAGTAACCCCACCTCCAGCACACACTCCAGATCCATCCGTGTACCAACACAGGTTTATGATCCCAACAAACGCTTCCATCCATCCAACTAGACTGTCATCCCCACTAATCTCCTCTACACATTCCAAGGTCTGTGGTGCCTGAATCATGACCAGTCACCAGTGTCATGCCTGGGCATTGCAGAGGCTCTCTTCCTAGTTGGCATGTCAAAGCTTAGGGTCACAGACAGTGGAGGTCACAGGTGATAGGGACAAAAGGGAGGACAGAGGCCTAGACAGGAGTCAAGGGACCCAGCCACACACTGCCAGGAGCCTGCCCTGTTTCAGAGAGGCGGGAAGAGTCTTTCTCTGCATGGCAGTGTCTAGAAAACTTCTCTGTACTTTGTGTCTCTCCCTGCCTGGAGAGGTGAATTCTGGGGAACTCAGACTTTGGAAGCTGCTGGGATCCCCAGAAGCAGAAGAGGAAACCTCAGGAAGAACAGTGCACAGGGACGAAAAGACAGTGAAAAGGAACAACAGGAGGGGTCCCCAGGGCAGTGACACACTGACCTGGCATCTTCTGTCCTACTCTCCTGACAGGCTCAGTTTCAAGTCCAGACCTGTGCTGACCAGAAGCTTCTTAGTCCTTTCTCGTTGGCAAAGCTCTCACTCTCTGGAGTCACTAGAAAGAGGATTTGGTTGGAATCACTTAATCTCTTCCCGTCTAGCCAGAGGCTGAATTCAAAGCTGTGGTTGCTAAACCAGAGACATCATTCTCTTATCTGTTCTGTGGCTCCCCTGCCAGGGCTCTCAGCCTGTGGGCAACCAAACCCTAGTATGAGGATGGCCTGGAATCAGGGGTACAGAAACATCACCTCCAGACTCCGCAGCCCTTTGGTCTCTGAAGAGGGAGCCCTGTTGACTACGCTCACCTACAGGTAGGGGCCAAAGAGTGAAAGGTCTCCAGCCAGGTCCTACATCATCTCTGACTCCGTCCTTCATGAAGTCTTTCCCAGATGGCCCCAGTGCATCTTGGTCTCTCCTTTCTGTGAACCTGTGGCTGCCCCCTCAGCTGTGTCTCTTGCCTCTACTGATAGACCTCACAGTATCTTGGTCTCCACACTAGCTCTGCAGAGCCCAGGGGCTGAGGTCAAACCCAGGAACCTCTTGGGAGATGGAGGAGGGGACCAGACAGATCACTCAACCAGAGTCACCCAACCTGGGTTCAAGTCTCCTCTCTGCTGCTTCTTGACTGGGTGATCTTGGGAAAATTACTTAACCTTTCTGAACTTTCTTCCATTGCAAGATGGATGACATGGTGATACCTACTTTACTGAGCCACAATGTAGATTAAATAAGATAACATGTGTCCAGTGTTCCAGGTAGGGTCGGTTTTCACGTATGTAAAACATTGCTATCTATTCTTTTCTTGCTTTTCAATGTTGGATCTATAGGTCAATTTCATTTGGAAGTACACAAAACTCTGGGACTGAAAAAGCTTGGAGGTCACTGAGTTCTGATTTTAGTCTATTTGGTACATCACCATACATAATCAAGGGGCGCTAGAGCTTTTCTGGCAGGACATCACCTTACCATACATCATTTGTTTCTTACTGCACTAAAAGCACTTCAGGTCATCCTGGCTTTACTTTTTTCTCTCCCGCCCACCCCCTTCTTACCAGCAGCTAGCTGGGAATAAGCTAGGTTCTCTTGCGTGAATGAAAACAGATGAACCCTGGTAATGCTGTGCACCCAGTATAGACAGGTTGGCAACTTGGGTCCCTCCTCTGTGTAGCCAAAAAATGGCTCCCTTCCTCCCCATAGCTTCCATTCACAGTATCTCTGTGTCATCTTTACTAATTCATACCAGGTTCAAGGTTGCACCCTGGCATAATGTCTTCTCTCATCGCTCTGATTAATAAGCAGTGAGCACCCCTTGGTGCCAGGCATGGGTCCCCCCTACCTGGTGGCTCAGCATCCTGCTCTCCCTCTCTTGGAGCAGATTTGCCTACAGCTAATAGTTTTTTCCTCCTGTTTGATTGCTCTGAGATCAGCTGGAATTGCTGGCTCCCAAGAGACTAAACTGACAGAATCCTCCAAAAATCCACTTCTTAGGAGGAAAAACAATCCATAAAGTCTCAAAGTTCAAAGGAGCTTTCAGCATCTCTGGAGCAGCCCCCTCCTGCCACAGAATAGATGGAGCCACAAGATGGCCAGAGCAGAGGTTAAGAGTAGCTCAGGCCCTGGTTCTGGTACAGGCTCCTCCAGCAGAATGAACATCCCTGGACTGCAGTTGCACATTGTTAAAGTGGAGAAAGGGGAGAGGACAGGGACCGTCTAGTCAGGCTGGGTAGAAGGCAGAGGAAACTGCTGCCACCCAGGACAGCCTGAGATGGAAAATGTGCTTCAGCTGGTGCTTGGTGAAAATGACTTTGCAGCCATGCCATAGGCTACCCCCATCAGAGCTGAGGCCTCTCTCCAGCTAGCCCTAAGAGGCAGTCCCCCAAGGGTAGGATGAGCAGAAAGGTCAGGGCTGGGAAATAGGAAGGAATTTTGGCATTCAGAACCATGAGGAACAGGAAATGAACCACTGCCTTCATTCAGCAGGGATGTGCCAGCTGTTGCTGGCTCCCCCACCACCCCCAGGATCAAACCCCCTGCAGGCACATCTTGGTGGTTCGGAGAGAGAGCAAGCCTTTCCTAGTTTAGCACCCTTTGGGAGAAAGATGTGTTCCCACCCCATTTTTCTGAACCCACTCCCTGCAATTTTCTCAAAAAAAAAAAAAGTCCCTATAATTTATTAAAATCCCACCTCAAAGCCTGGCTGGTGAGTCAGGCTCTGGGAGCAGCTGGCAAGGGTAAATGGCAGGGAGGGGGTGGCACTGGGCAGTTAAGACTCAGAGGTCCCAAGTGACCTCCATGAAGTCACATAGCCAGAAGTCTCACCTTAAGTCTGGGTTCATTCACCATCTTTCAGTCCAGTCACCTCCTTTCCCACTGAACACTGTCCATGCAGCCCAGGCCAGTTGTGGTGGGCAGGAGGCAGGTGGTTACATAGTGTAAGGCAGTGACGTCTGTCCACTGTCACCTGGGGTCTGCCTTGTCTTTGGCCCTGCGCCTGTGGCGAAGCCCTAGCTGCCCTCTTCTTTCCTCACTAACAGCGTTGCTTTCCTTCCCAGTCCCCAGTCTTCACTGCCCAAGTTGGCCAGGACCTGGTCTCCCAGACAGAGGCAAAGCTCCTGCAGAGGCCCTGCAAGGAACTCTTCTCTTCCTGTGCTCAGTAAGTGTTTTTCCCACCTGGCCCTACTCACCTGGGTAGACCATGGCTACCTGGGCAGAGTCCTTGAAAAACAAGTGAGTTTGCTAGTCCGAGACCAAATCTAAAGCCTGGGCCCTCGAAAAGGGGGGATGTCCCACTTTGCCCCCCCCCCCCTCTGAGCCCCCCCCCTCCTCAGTGAGTCTGCACTATTCCCACTTCAGCTCAGTCCTTCTTCAGAAAGTCGTTCCTGAGCCCTAGTTTGTGATGACACATCTCTGGGACTTAATGCTTATGATTTACTGTTTATATCCTCATCACTGTGCCTACACCAGAGCCCAAAACAATGTCTGGACCTTGACTGGCACCCCATGAATGCTTGTGAAGTCAGCCTAGTTTAAGTAACCTCTGTCCAGATGTGTGTAGTATCCATTCCAAGGCTTGGCTTATTTGAGTTTCTGAAGACCGAAATCTGCTAGACTCTGTCCAGCTGCTTCAAATAGTGTGCTCATCCTTCTGTCACTCCAATCTAGGTCTGTCCATGACTACTTGAGAGGGGACCCCTTTCACGAGTACCTGGACAGCATGTATTTTGACCGCTTTCTGCAGTGGAAATGGTTGGAGAGGTGAGTACCACACACCCCACACATGAGAGTGTTTGAATGTGGGAGGTAGGGTACAAGATTTCATCTGAGAATTTATGCAAACATCAGTTACCTGCCATGGACCCTGTGACAATCAAATTGACCATCCTCCTCCTGCTAAGTTCTTGGGTATTCTAGAAATGTTGTGTGCTTATTAAAGCACTCCCCTGGTCATGCCTACATACACGGCCTCTTTTGTTGTTGCTTCTTTGGTTCACTGTCTCTGGGAATTCTTTCTCTGCTAGCCAATTAGAGAGGTGCCATAGCTGTACATCCTTTGTTTAACCCAATGCTCTATTGGATACTGTACTTATTTATTTATTTTTCTGTGCTAAGGATCAAACACAGGGCCTTGTACCTGCTAAGCATATGCTGTACCACTGAGCTACACCCCCAGTCTCTATTCTCAGTTGTGTGTGTGTGTGTGTGTGTGTGTGTGTGTGCGTATGCACACGTGTGCAACTTTTTCTGAAGAATGAATAGCTTTGCACACAAAGCCCTATGTACTTTTGCCAATCCATCCTCAAGGCACCTGATTGGAACTTGTGAGGGACTACTGAGTTGCCCTCCAGAATAGCCACCTCCAGTTTCCAGCCCCACCAGCACCTGAGTGCTGCTTCTTGAGGCTCCATCAACATTGTTCTCAGGTTTTCCTCCCCATGAGCAAGCACTAGGCTGTCCCTAATCTCTATTTTTCATCTTTCTAATTATGAGTGAGATAGGGTCCATTCCTGGTTTATTTGCTGCTGCAGTCTCTTCATTTGCTCTTGGGGGTGGCTCTCACTTGGGCAGACATGGTCTCTCTTTGACTGATAAGGAAGCAGAAACTTGAAGGGGACATGACTTACCTTGTCCCCAGTAAGACAATCAGAGCAGCTGAGGGGGCAACGAGATGATAACCTGGGACTGTTTCAAGATTGGCAGAGTTATATCTGGGTTAAAACATGCTCGGCTGCTGGGCATGGTGGCGCATACTTTTAATCCCAGCACTCAGGAGGCAGAAGCAGGTGGATCTCTGTGAGTTCAAGGCCAGCCTGGTCTACATAGTGAGTTCCAGACCAGCTGGGGCTATAGGGAGACCCTGCCTCAAAAAGACTAAAAACCAAAAAAACAAAAACAAAAACACACACATGCTAGGCTAAGCTGGTAGATGTGGGTAGGGTGTCACCTTACTCAGCCCAGAGGTCCCTGCCTCCAGAGGGCTGGCACCCACAGCCAGGTGCTCCATGCTTAGAGCAGGAAGCCATCTTACTCCTGTGGTCCGCATGTGTACAGCACATATGGGTCTGGTCCCCTGCAGATGGCGCCTAGAGTTACCTGGAAGCCCAGGGGCAGCTGCTCTGTATACTTTAGGAGATCCTGCAGGCATGCACCCTGCTTGAAGCCATTAGATGGCCCTTTCTCTCCACCCTGGCCAGTGGGGATGAGAAATGACCAGAGGATGGCCTCTCAAAGGTTCACCTCTGACCACGGCAGCACTGGGGACTAAGCCTTCAACATAGGAACTTTAGGAGCGCAACTTCACATCTAAACAGAGCCCAAGTACAAGATACATCCAGCAACAGGTATTATCCCCTTGTAGACCCCCCCAGAAGGACCATGCCCTTTATGCCAAGACTTTCAATTAATGAAACCAGATACAACAGCAGCTTATGGGAAGTTTTGGCATGGGCACTCCAATTCTAATGGACTCTTGACTGTGGCTATTGACTTTCTTTTTCCTTGTCTTCACCAACTGCATGAAATGGACATTTTAAATCCATGTACTAACTGTAGCAAAGTTCACCCTTTGGAAGGCACTAAGTTCTTAGTGCCAGTAAGGCAGGATCCTGGCCTAGAAATGCCCTAAATGACCCATAGTGCCTTGTCTTCTCCCATTTTTCCCCCAAACAAGATTGAGGCCTGTTCAGGCTGTACTGTTAAAACAGTAAAAGGATTTTTTCCCCTCCCAAGGTTAACCAAGAAATTTCTGGGGAGTAGTATGACACTTTCCCAGCACAGGCATTCTGCAGTAGTGGCACTGACCGTTTGTTCTCTGTATATGGTTAAATGGTTAGGCCGGGTGCTTCATGTGGTCTTGAGGGCTACTGTAGGAAAGGCACTGTGGTGGATGCTGGCCCATGGCAGGCTTCTCTGGCCCACCTGGGCTGCTCTTGTGCTGAGGACAAAGCCCAGCAGTGACAGTCCTGTGGTGGGGTGTTCCGTGCATCCCATGGAATCAACGAAGAGTGAAGTGTGTCACACATGTTAACTGGAGACTGGGGCCTGGAATGCCCTGGGCTTTTTGGGGTTGTCCTGAGGGCTGGTGCAATGTGGGAGACTCATTCCAGTGAAATCTAAGAACAGTATCAGGAAGGCTGTCCACGTAGTACAAATGTCCAAGAGCTGCTGGAGGCTCATGTGTCCTTCTCTAGCTGACCTAGTTCCCTGGCCCAGTTCTGTCTCCTACAACCCTTGCCCTGGGTCAGGAATCTTCAGGGTGGTTGGGAGAAGTGCTAAAAAATAGTCTCAAGGATCCAAGAAGCAACTTTGCCATGTTAAACTGATTATTCATAGCCAACCCAGCCAGGGATGAAAACGGGTTCTACACATGGAGTCTTTGGCAAGAACAGGATGGTTTTATTTGATAACTCCTGGGGATACAGCCTTGCCTTCTTGTCTGATCAGACATGCTGAGTGCCTCATTAACCTGGGGAGCCAGGAGACAGAAAGTGATGGGTACTTTAAATACCTCTTTGGCCATTCAGGGTGTTCTATTGTACTAGATTGATGGAGCTATAATAAATGGTTCCTGGTGAAGGAAAGGTTGAAAACTGATGGTCACAGAGTATCTTGGCCTCAAATGAGGTCAGGTCTACTCCAAGTATCCATGGGTACCCAGGACAGCAAGTGTGGCCACCCGCTGGGCAGACTGAGCCTGGCAGGTGTGATGAAGGCTGTTCACTCCTGTGTGGTTTCTGGCTCCTTCTCTCAACTCTGCACAGGAAGCAGAGTTTCCTTTGAGGTCAGGCCACAGGCTGTGCATTTGGGAAACAGCAGGGGGATGTTGTCAGGGGAGGGGTACTTGCAAGGGAGAGGTGAGTTTCCTGGGTGGGGCTGAGCTTCTTCCAAACCTCCAGCCCTTCTGAGCAAGCCATGGTGGCTCAGCCCCTAGCTCTCCAGGATCTACAGCCAGAGGTCTGGGATCTGCATGCAGCCCCAGAGGAAGGCACCAGAGGTCCTGGAATTGTGCCTCACCAGCTGCCCTTGTCTGTTTCTTACGGATCTCGAATCTTAATTCCAAGAGACCAATGTCAGATTCTTGATATTTTCCAGGCAACCAGTGACCAAAAATACTTTCCGGCAGTACCGAGTGCTGGGCAAAGGGGGCTTTGGGGAGGTGAGTGAACTTCTAGGCGTCCCTACAGAAGGTGCTCTGCCACCTTCTCCTGAAACCTCTTGGATTGGCATGAAGAATCTTCCAAGTAGGGCTTCTAGAAGGATCTTCCCACTCTACTTTGGGCCCACTGGAAGCAGAGAGAGGGGCCTGGCCTGGGTACGGATACATTTGTGAGGCAGGAAGGAGGGTATCAGCATCCCTCACTGTCCCGAATGGGCAGGTGAGGTGGAGGCCCACTCTAGCCATCCTTTGTTGGGGCTCCAAGAGAAAGGTGGACTCTAGGTTGCATTTGAGGAGGGAAACCTGAGGGAATGAGGGGCCTGAACACTTTGGCCCCTGAGGATTCCAAGTATTGCTGTTAGTATGCCTTGTCATGGGAATAGAGAGTCCATTAAACACTATCTGGCCTTTCCAACATTTAAGACCAGCTGGGTTCCCATTTTAGAGGCAAGGAAAACTGAGGTTCAGAAAGGTTTGGTTACCTGCCAAGGTCACGTGGCCAATAAGGGGCAGAACTAGGGCTCAAATCTAAATGTCGTGTTCCCATTCCTTTGAATTGTAAAGTCAGAGTTCTTAAGAGTCTTCCTTTGCTGTCCCCCAAAACAAACTTAACTGCAGCTAGCAGGAGAAAGCTCAGTTGTACCCAGTGGGTGCAGCACTTGAAACCAACAAGCAGTCACCTAACTTTATGCAATGGCCGATCTCGTACCTTCAAGGCCAGGATTTTCCTCAGGGGAGGACGAGGGACGACAAGGTAGCCCTGGGCTAGCTTGTGAGGGCAGAACCCGGGCAGCACTGGGTGCAGAGCCACAGCACCCACAGGCTAGGCCTGCTGGCTCTGGTCCCATCAACTCTAGCCCCAAAGATCTCCTGAATTTAGAGGTGCTTGGGCTAGACTACCATGGTAACTTGGGACCTGAGTGTTTGCCTTCTGCCTCAGGTCTGTGCCTGCCAGGTTCGGGCGACAGGTAAAATGTATGCATGCAAGCGCTTGGAGAAAAAGAGAATCAAGAAGAGGAAAGGGGAATCCATGGCACTCAACGAGAAGCAGATTCTTGAAAAGGTCAACAGCCAGTTTGTGGTGAGTATCCAGGGCCCAGTAACAGGCCCCAGAAAGACAACAGACCTTCCTCCATCACAAAACAGCATGCCAAGACCAATGATGGCTAATGTGATCTTGTCACTAAAGATAGCCAGGGCCTGGATTGCATCTGCGTGAGCCTGTGATCTCTGCTCTTTAAGACTAGCTTATAAACTCCCCATTGAACAAAACAGTGCCACTGTAGGCCCCAGCAAGAACTCCAAGGTCCACAGATGCACTTGCGGTGGAATTTCCTAGAGAGGTGCCATTTTGTTTGTGTGCCTCTGGCTCCCTCATCAATCTAGGCTCTGCTACAGTGGCAAATCAGCCCTAACTTTAAGTAGATGCATACAACAAAAGCTTATGTGTCAGTCACATCGAGTCCAGTCAGATTTGGACCACCCTCCTCCCCTTAATGGCTGTTCCAACCAGAGCTTGGAAATAGTACTGAGGTTTTCCACATGGCCCTCTCACTGCCTCAGCTGGGCTGACAGTCCATGCTTCCACCACAGTGCACTGGTCATAGTGTCACTGCAGGGACAAGCTAGCTGTGGAGGAGGCTGGGAAGTGTGGAGGAGTACATGGATATTTGGTCAGCTCTAAAAAGTCTCTGCAGCATGTTATTAGAAAAACTAATATATGCACAAGGTAAAAATTCAAATGCATAGAAAGGTAGACATTAAAGACAAATACCTCCCTCTCTGAGAAGCCGTTCTAGGCTTGCTTTGTTTGTGGATAGGCTTTGTTATTTTTAGCTAACAGGAATCTCCCATGCTTATGATGATTTCTACCCTTAAATTATAGATTTTTTTCCTTCTGTCTAGACCTACAGCTGTTATTCCCCGCCCCCTTTTTTTGAGATAGGGTCTCCCTATAGCCCTAGTTGGCCTGGAACTCTATCTGTAGAGCAGGCTGGTCTCGATCTCACAGAGATCCACTTGCCTCTGCCTCCCGAGTGCTGGGATTAAAGGTGTGCATTACCACGCCCAGTTTGTACCCCCTTTTTTGACTGTTATACATCATTGCTCTGTGTAACCAATCCCTACAGACTAAAATTGTCTCTCATTTGTTAACCATTGCCAACCAGTCTGGGATGTCTGCTTTTGAACATTACCTGGTGTACTTCTGTGAAGGTAGCCACAGGATACACTCATAGTAGAGGAATTACTATGGAACAGGCTATGTATACATATCGTCTGATAGCCACTCCCAACTGGCTTGCCCCAGTTAAACTGCGTGACAGACAGGGAAAGCCACCATCGACCTAGTGCTTTGGCCATCCTCCAGAGGAAGGTGGTTTAGAAAGTGATGCTCAGGTCAGGTATGGTGGTGCATGCCTTTAATCCCAGCACTTGGGAGGCAGAGGCAGGTGGATCTCTGTGAGTTCAAGGCCAGCCTGGTCTACATAGTAAGTTCCAGGGCAGCTGGGGCTACAGGGAGACCCTGTCTCAAAAAGACCAAAAAAACAAAGAAAGTGATGCTCAAATAGGACAGACGTTTGGATCCCTGGGTCTCATCCCAGGCTGTCCCAGCTGCCATCTTTGTTCATAGGGAGGGGTGGGGAGTTCAGTGGAACCTCAAAGGAGGAAGTAGACAAGGCTATCCCCAGCTAGGTTTGGCCTAGGCCATTTTGACTATGGATTGCCACCTTGATGCTATCTGTGGAGCCCTCATCTATGAGGGATGATGCTGGAGGGTCCTACTTAGAAAACAAGTACGTCTGTCAAGCCTGGGCTGGCACACCTTCAAGGGCCATTGGTTTTGCCAACCAGACCATCCTTCATTTGTTCATCCGTTATCCCTGGCAGGGAATTCTCACTTTGTGTCAGCTTTCTATCACTATAAGGACATACCTGAGGCACTTACCTAATAAAAATGAAAAGATATATTTTTCTCAGAGTTCTGGAGGTTACCATCCAAGATCAGGTGGCCCGGTTGCTGCAGGGTTTATATTGTGAACCAAGAAACAGGACAGAGAGACAGGAAGGGGTCAGGTCTCACAAACCCCTTCAAGGGCATACCCCCATTGACCCAAGGGCCTCTTACTAGACCTGTCTTCCTGCAGGTCCCCTTACTCCCAATAGCTCCACCCTGGGGGCCAGTCCTTTAACACTTGGACTTAGAGGATACTTAGACAAACCATGGCACACTCCCTTGGTTATCGCCTGGGCAGATGGAGGAGGAAGAGGGGCAGCCACAGCAGTTGGCAATGAAAACACACTGGGGACATGAGCTCACTCTCCCTCAGCGTCTTTTCTCAGAAATAACTCCTGTTCTTCCTGATATTTACATCCAGGTTTTATGGCCCAGCTTCTCCCCAGCCTGGTCCTGGTGGCCAGATTTCATTTGTGCAAACTCCCCAAGTAGAGAATAAATGCCACCCAGTGTAATTTGCCTCAACCCAGCACCACCTGCCTCTTCCACTGCACTTGTGTATCTGGAATCCACTGGGTCATATATGTTGATATATCCTGTATGGAAGATTCTTGGCCAGGCTGTGTTCCACTCCCTAAAGCCCCACTTGCCTGTGATAATGTGTCCCCACAGCCCGAGGGGCAGCTATGCCTTGCTTTTCTGACCAGTCAACTAGACAACATCCAATTTTAACCAAGTAATGCATGTACAAGCTTTTGTAATGTGAAAGTCATCACCATCCTGGTAGAATTGCTGGAAGGTCAGGGTTCTACCCACCCTGTCCCCCTCAGCCCTTTACCTGAGCCACTTGCCAGAGGAGCTGAGCGTGAGCTCTTCACTGGCCAAGAAGGGCAGCTAACAGGGTCACTGAGAGGCTCTCTGGGCACAGGGAGCACTGTGAGCTGCTGTGTCTCCTCCCCTCCCCCAACCCCAGCTTTAAGGATCCCAAGAAAGGGAGCAGAAATACGTAGCAGTGTCTGTGACTGCACCATGGTGCTGCTCTCGCTGCCCCAGGTCAACCTGGCCTATGCCTATGAGACCAAGGATGCACTATGCCTGGTCCTGACCATCATGAATGGGGGTGACCTGAAGTTTCACATCTACAACATGGGGGACCCTGGCTTCGAAGAGGAGCGTGCCTTATTTTATGCAGCTGAGATCCTCTGTGGCCTGGAAGATCTACATCGTGAGAACACAGTATACAGGTGAGTGACACTTCCGGAGTCTGGATGAGCCCCGGCATTGCCCCCTCAGCAAGAACCCAGGCCTGATCATATGTGGTGGAGGCATGGGAGGCACATGGCCTGCCCCCACCCTGGAGCCCAGTGCCCCCAGGAAGCTAGCACATGAGACCAACTGCTCTCTGGATGGTGTCTCTGAAGAGACACCATCTCTAAAGATTAGAGAAACCAAGCTTGTAAAAAGTATATTCCCCAGACTGCTCCTCCAAGTCATGGAGGACAGGCCATGACCACTGTCCCCACCACCCAGTACCCAGGGATGCTCAGTAGAGTCCGACATCTGGAATCAGCCCCAGCGAGACATGGGGAGGGTCACTAAGTGTATCATGGTGGCATGGCCAGCTCCAGCCTTCACCTTCTTCCCTTCTGATCTCAATATCCCCATGGCCTGGACTCTCTAGAGTCCTATACCCACATGCTGCTCACAGTGATCAGAACATCACACTGTCCTCACAGCCCTTCACAAAACTTCTCTGCCCCCCTGGGCATTTTAAATAGACATTGAACTAACCACCACTAACTACCCTGTGTTTAGCAGAAGGGGCTGATGTTTTGATATTGGACAGTTACATCACCTTTCTCAAGGGACCTGGAGGAATCTAATTGCTGTAGCAAATTGATTTCCAACATTGTCTGTCTAAAAAATGTGTGGGAAGCTCTTGAAAGGTGAAGGTGACGTCAGGAAATGCACACCCCTGACACTGCTGGCATGTGGGACCTCTCAGTCTTCACGGACCCCCTCCCCGCCCCCCAGCATCCACATGGCTTGATTTGATGACTTTGCATGGATCTCTGGGTGGAGATTATCTTGGGAGCCCAAGAGGGTTTTGGAAAGAAGAATGTTCTTGTTGAGAGCTTGTCTGAGAGCTTGCCCCCCCCCAACTCCCTGCCTGTGTTTCTGTTTTGTTTTCATTCAAGTGAAAAGAAAGTCAGAACATTCCCTTAAGGGTTGAAAAAAAAAATCTTCCACTTGATTGCCTTTCTCTTAAAAGAAAGGTTGAAGACCCTGGAGTCCCAGCTCCCCTTCCACTAGGGAGGCAGAGGCCTAAGGTATCCCCCTCTGTCCTGACCACCTGCCTAGTCTCTCTCTGGGTTTGGTTCTCACCAATGGCCCCTAGCAAGCTGTCATTCCAACTCATGGCTGCTGGTTTATTGAGATGAGAGTTCTTGCCCTTATTTGGAATTGTTAGAACATCAAAAGAAGCCTATGTAAATAATAAACAGCAGCTAAAACTAGTTTGTAATAAGTCAGGGTATGCAAACACCCATCTCCCTTGGTGAGACTGCCTGGGATTTGGGTACATGAGCCACTCCCCACAAAGACAGCTGCCATGAGTTAAACAAACAAAGCTGCCTGGAGGGGAACTGGAGCCTCTGTCCAGATGCCATGCAAGTATTGTCTGCCCTGGGATGTAGCTATGGGGTTCACACCCCACTCTGGGCTGCTCGATTACCCACTAACAGGAGCTTTCACTAGGCAGTGCAGAGTCTTCTGCCTGGGAAGGCTGAGTGTTCTGCTTTATTAGCAAGATCCCATTATTGAAGAGAGAAGACACTGGGGGCAGGGTGAGGCAGCCCCACCACAGCTGCGCCTTCAGCCTGCGCTTCCTCCCTGGCTGTGACACAGCAGGATTTGGGGGATGTGCTCACTCCTGAGACCCCATCTATAGGGGTCTTTACCCTGGCCTTTCCCTCCCTACAGCTCTCTTCTCAGTTATAGGGCTGGTGTCCTGGGCTCGGTGACTTCCTTTGTTTCCTACAGGGCATTCTGTAACACCAGGTCTTCCCAGCCCTTCAGGGAGGTCTCTGTCTATACTATCCAGTCTCCTTAACCCCTCAGGACTGCCCCTTTGAAGACAGATAATAGCGTTGGCCTTTTCTAACCTCCTAGTCACTCTATGGGATAGAGAAGAAGCTGGTGACTAATAGCATTTGTGTTAAATTACTGGGAAAAGAGAAATTAGCCCACGATGGTAGTGACCTAGAGAGACCAGACCACCTGAGCCCAGAGGTGAGAGGCAATCACCCTGTGGCATTCAGACCTGGTTGGCCCCAGGGGGTCAGCCCAGATACAATGTATCCTTGCTGCCCAGAATGACCATGCTTAGGTGCCTGTTGTCTTTTCTTTGCAGAGATCTGAAACCGGAAAACATCCTGCTGGATGATTATGGTAAGTAGGGGGCAGAAAGGCTCAGAGTCTTTTCTGTCACAGTAGCTGAGGTGTGTGCCACAAGTCACTCAGAGCAAAGGCCTGCCAAGACTCTCAGGAGAGTGGAGGAGGCTGGGCCAGGACCATGGGAAGAGAGGGAGCCTGGGGGCAGGGAACCCCACTCCTGCTCCTTAGTTCTCTGGGCCCAAAGGAGGCTCCAACTTGGTGAAACAGTGTGGCTCGACTGAGACTGATGTGAGAGCCAGTGTCAGCAGCAGAGAGTGATGGTCAAGGGCACTGGACAGGAGTGAATGTCCACGTCACTTCTCTGTCCCTCTCCTGTTTGTGAGGTAGATACTTCAGGGCTATTCTGGCCGCTAGGGGAGAACTGTGTAGTGAGGCCACTACATGATGGCCAAGGGACAACTTGGTCTGATGACTTCAGCCAGCTGTGAACACGTCATTATCTGTGTGCTACCGCTGTTATTTGCTCTTCGGTGTGAGCACATAGATTGTAACCTCTCATACAATGCAGTCCCTTATACATACAGAGTAGTTTTCACATGTACCTGACTAGATCTCCATGGAGTGGCAGGTGGAATCTGGGGAAGAATAAGAGGGGTAGCTGGCCTTGGCCACCTTGAGAGAGGTGTATGTGGAGGAGCAGGGAGGACAGGGGTCCTCTGAGGGGTCCAGGTGACAATATGTTCTCAGAACTCCCCACAGTGAGGTCCTGTGGCCCACTGCTGGAGCTCTCTCTCTTCCCTTTTACTGTCAGGCACCACAGAGCTGGGGGACAATCCATGCCACTCTGGTCTGGCAGGAGTTTATGGACTAGGCCTTGTAGAAACTGTGTGTTCCTTCCCAAAGATGAGATGTAGCCATGACCCTGCCCAGTGGGTGTGACAGAGGCAGAGGTGGAGCCCTCTGCAGTTCTGCCTGGGCCTGGGCGCCAGCTTGGACTCTGAGCTCAGATTCCAGGCCAGGCCCTTGTCCTTCTCATTTCTCTGTTTCTCTGAAGGGGAAAAAAACAAAACCACCTCCAAAGACCAATCAGGGAGTGGCTTCCCAAATTGCTTTACAATTTTTTTCCCTTAAGCAAATTGTTGCAAAATGTCAAGAACCTCATATTTTTCCTGTGAAGCAATCCCAGAATCAGCCAGGACATTTTAAACTCTGTGACCTCAGCCTCCCAGGAAGCTTGTGGGGCATTAAATGTGGCAGGTCGGCCAGCGGCCAGTCATGTCCAGGCATCCTTCTGCATCTTTATTTATGTTTCACTCCTAAAACGTGTAGTTTCCACACATTGTGTCTCCCCTCCACTCTCCCAGGGTCGCATATGCTCATCCTGGGAGGGCAACTGGAAGTCAAATCTTTATTAGACAGATGTCTTGCGAGTCTGTGGCCCTTACCAGGGTGTCCATATGATCATCCAGGGGCCCACTGATCCTGCTGTTCCCCCTGACAGGCCACATCAGGATCTCAGACCTGGGGCTGGCTGTGAAGATTCCTGAGGGAGACCTTATCCGTGGCCGAGTGGGCACTGTTGGCTACATGGGTGAGTGTCACCGTGTGCCCATCACATACTAAGCCTTCCAGGGCTACCCCTCAGAGCCCCTAGTCTGTTTGTGCTTTGCTGATCAGAAATGGAGTGTTGGTCTCTCACAGGGATGCTTGGTAAGAGGCCTTAATCACATGTGGTAGTGCACTGGGACCTAAGGTGTGACCATAGCTCAGTTCTCCACAGTCCCCAACCACAAGGCCACCTGGGTCTCAAAGTCAAGCCACCTGGGGGTGTTGAGAGCCAGGGCCTGACACTAGCATTCACCCTGGGAGGCCTTGGTGAAATAGGACCTACCTGGATGAAGTGTCAAGCAGATAGCCCTCTGGGGAGATGTCAGAGAAGGGAGGTTATTACAAAGTTTCCAAATTAGAGGAGCCTGCCATGTCTCCAAGCATGGTCCTAAGTAGGGACCACCCTTCCCCTCAGCCCGCTCCAAAATTAGTATCCTAGAGTTTGCTGGGAAGAGACCTAGAGCTAAATCTAGATTCTCAGAATCCCCCTGACCAATTAGGGGCATCTCCTGTACTTCCTCCTGCATAATTCAAATATATATGCCCTCCTTCCCTGGGATGTACGGGCCCACTGAGAGTTCTAGGCCAGATGCCTGCTACCCTCTACCCAGGCCTGCAACTGCAGAAAATGTGTGGGATTCAGTACTTTGTCTCTGATGCTAGAGGACCCTTTTAGACTACATAACACTTGGCAGCCTGTGTTTGTGTGTGTGTGTGTGTGTGTGTGTGTGTGTGTGTGTGTGTGTATGCATGTATACTGATAGATACATAGAGGATAGGTGAATGAATGAATAGATAGATGGATGATGGATTAAATTGGTGGATGATGGATGGTGGATGATAGATGGATGAATGGATAAATTGATGATTGATAGGTGGATAGATAATAGATGGATAAATTGATAGGTGATGGATGAGTGGCTAGATGATAGATAAGTAAATTGATATATGATGAATAGATAAATTGATGGATGATAGATGGATTATGGATGGTGGGTGGATGGATGATAGATAGATTGATGGATGATGGATGACGGATGGATAATAGATACACCTGTCCACATAACTGCATGAACATCGGACTACACATTTGCGTTGCTCTCCTTTTGAACACAGTGCTGCCTGTTTTGTCTGCACACAGCCTCTGTTGTGTACCCTCTAGTGCACGTGTGCATGCTTTTGCTTCTGGCTGGCTTCATAGCATGAAGCTGTCTTTTTTGTAGTTCTATGATGAATCTATAAATCATTTTGTCAAAGTGGTAGGGAATATATAGTGAGAGATGGTTGAAGTCCAAGTCGATCAAATATAAGCTCTAGCTGGGCACCCTTCTTCACCAAAACAAATCTGCATGCAGCACATCCTGTGTGCAGGAGCCGTGCCTGTCGCTGGGGACACAGCAGCGAGCAATGCAGTGCATGTTCTATTTGGGGAGACACTTCCATTCACCTAGATCAGAGTTCTGAAGCCACAGTCAGAACCCTTGGGCACAATGAAACACCATCAGGGAAGACTTTCTAGATCAAGTGGTGTTTGCGGCAACTAGGGGTTGGTAGTTGGCGGTTGGAAGAAAGGTTGCCCCAGCCTGAAACGCCAGACCTTCTGGGAACGATACCATCACCCTTGGGGGCAGCTGGGAAGAGGAACAGCACTGGCCTGTGTGCTTCTACTGTGTCCTGCTACCCGCTGGCTCACACTCTCCTCACCTCTCCCTCTGCCCACAGCCCCTGAAGTCTTGAACAACCAGCGGTATGGTCTAAGCCCTGATTACTGGGGCCTGGGCTGCCTCATCTACGAGATGATTGAGGGCCAGTCACCTTTCCGAGGCCGCAAGGAGAAGGTGAAGCGGGAGGAGGTGGACCGCCGGGTGCTGGAGACTGAGGAAGTGTACTCCCCCAAGTTCTCTGAGGAGGCCAAGTCCATCTGCAACATGGTGAGCTCCTGGCGAGCCAGATGCTGCCCACAGGCTTCAGCCTGTGCCCAGAGCACCAGACAGACTGAAAAGACACAAGCAGGGCGTTTGAGGCTGTGGGTGGTGAGCTCTCCATGCTAGAATGGTTGATTCTCCTTGCTGTGGGTGGAAAGGTCTCAGGAGAAGCCTGACTTGTGGAGCAGGTTACTCTATGAACCAAGGGGAGTTTGAGGTGAACATCTATGCAGACATGCAGCTTAGTGGGGAAGTTGGCTCAGGGCAGAGATGAAGGCCCAAGATGCACAAGCAAGGCTCTGCTCTTGACCTTGGATCTCCTTTTCCCTCCGCTCTGGACCCTAAGCACTGGCTTAGGGCCAAGGACTGCTACTCAGGTGGTGATGTCCTTGAAGTCTTTGAGCATCTAATCATTTTCCATCTACTATATGGAGAGCTGGTCACACTAGCTCGGGTTCTGTATGACAGCATATGTAGATAGGCAGGGCACACATGGGAGAAGGCTTAGCCCGGCTAGGTTGGTAGGGTCAGGCCAGGATACTGAGCAGCTGTCCGTTCCTCAGCCCAGGTGGCCTCTACTCCAGGGCTGGTCCTTGGACCCTTCCTTTGTGTGTGGAGTCAGCCACTTCCTGTTCCTGCCTGGCTGTCAGACTCCCAAGTCTCACCACAGGCAGCTACCCTCTGATGCCAACTACATGGGGACAGAAAGGGCCTGAGCTCCCAGCTCCACACACCTGCAGGCCCACAGACTTCCTCTCCCTGGAGGCCTGTTGCACCTGGGACAGCAGATGGGCAGCCCAACCTGGGAGAGACGTCTCCTCTTCCTCCTCTTCCTCTTCAAGGGATCTTGGGGTAGGCTCAAGGGCATGTACACAACGCCCAGACTGGAGCTTATGGAGGGGCAAGACTGGGAGCTTGAAGGGAAGCAGCAAACTTCTGTACTCAAAGGGCCTAGGAACCTTGGGGCTTAGCACCTCAAGCCCCAGGGAGCCCCCCTCTTGCAACCAGCACTGCCTCTGCCCTGCCACTTCCTCTTACCAGCTTCATTCCAGTGTCATAAAGCTATGGAAAGAAGGATTTGGGGCTAGATCTGCCATTGACATGTGTAAAAGACTTGGGGAAGTATGGTATGTAACACGACACACATCCAAACCCTGTAGCCTCTTGACCAGCCATACTGCTGAGGCCTCAGAGATTTACTGCAGCAAATAGTCAGTGCCACACAGTGGAGGGACAAGCAGCAGAGATCAGGGTGTGGAGAGATGGGTGCTGGTAGTATTTAGTTATAGTGAGCTGTCGGTGCAGTATGACAAAGTTGCAGAAGACAAGCATCACGGTCGTGGTCACAAGTGTCACTGAATGTCCCAGGACAGAGTCAGGAATTCCAGGAAACAAGTCTCAGTGGGGCCATGGAGGAAGCAGGAGGCAGAGAGGACCTATTCCCCTCCCCCCCCCTTCACTTCAGCTCCAGGTTTGGGGCTGGGAGCTCCTGCAGACACTGCTTTCCCTCTGCTGCCCCCTTGTGACCACTGAGGGAAAGGTACTGGTCAGGCCTGTTGCTCTTAGGAACTTGGCCTGTGGGTGCAAAGTTTCAAATCATTGTCCCCTCGTCTCTGCCACTTGAATGAACCACCAGAAGCCTCAAGCTGCCTTGCTCTGTCTTCTTTTGAGGTCTTGGATTCTGGTCTGGACTTCCTCCTCTTCCTCATCCACAGCCTCTCACATCTGGCCACCAGGCCTGCTTTGACACACCCCTACCCCAAAATTGATACCTAGTCAGGCTTCTACAGCACCTGACCCATAGGCTGGAGGTAACCACACAAACAAGGAAGGCCTCCCCCTTGAGGTCTAGAAGTTCATACATCTCACTGCCCTGTGCCCTGGGTCCCTTCCTGAGAATCAGGCCTGGACCTTCCCTAGGCCCCTGCTGAGGCCCAGCCCTGGACCTTCCCCACCTTCCCTCAGGTCCTCTAGCCATGCAGGTCTCCCAGCCCTCCCAGATCACATGTAGCCCTCCTCCTCCACCAGGGAGCCTACCCTGTCTACTTCACCCCCCACACACACACCTCTTCTCTCTCTGCTATGTATACCTCATAGCCTCTTTGCAAGGTGGTGACATGGCAGGCGGGTGTTCTGTTCTGTTCTGCCTGTATGAAGCATTTTAGAAACAGACAAATGTTGAGTTAATGGCCAAGCTTTTCAAATGAAAAGATTTCCCGTTAAAAATCTGGTTTTCTGGCCCTTGCTGAGGGAAGCAGAAGTCTTGCCGAGCTATAATTCCTGTCTGGCAGGAGCTGATGAGGAGCCCAGCCCCTCACTTTGTCATCTTCATTGATGCCACCAGCCTGCCAGCACTGGGGACACTGGGGGCTGCCAGGGCAGCCTTGCCTCACTGATGTTTGAATGGGGAAAGCATAGTCCAGTCCCTTACATCTGGAAATGTCAAGCCCAGGGTCAGGTAGAGCAGAGAAAGCTTTTGTCATATAAGCCTAGCGGTTTGAGTTCCATCCCCAGAACCATGTAAAAGGTAGGAGGAGAGGACTGACTCCACGAAGTTGCCCTCTAACTTCTGCACATGCACAGTGGCATATACACCCATGCGCATCATACACAAGAATAATAAATAAAAATTTAAAAATAAAACAGAAAAGAGAGGCCCAGGTATGGGCACTAACCTGAGCCACCAGCAAGTGTACCACGAGGTGACAGCATTAGTGACTGAGGGCTTAGTTCTTGCAAGGATATGGTCTGGTGCTTGCCCTTCTGCCATCTTTGATTCTTCTCTTTGGAGGGAGGCATCCCCCTCTAGTCTGTGAGTTCTAAGAGGTGATCTTGGGGGGCGGTGCTGGAGGAGGATGCTTGGGAGAGGTCAGGGCCTCGGGGACAGGGCAGGGCAGGGCACACCCATAGATGCTCCTTTGCTCTTCTGGCCTCCGGGCAGATGGAAAGCACAACAGCATGGCCTCATGGGACTCTCTTGTCACAGCTGCTCACCAAAGATGCGAAGCAGAGGCTGGGCTGCCAGGAGGAGGGGGCTGCTGAGGTCAAGAGACACCCCTTCTTCAGGAACATGAATTTTAAACGTCTAGAGGCTGGGATGCTGGACCCTCCCTTCGTTCCAGATGTGAGTAGCTACCCCCACCCCCAGGAACTCAAAAGCCACTGCTCCCAGCCACACTCCCTAGCAGACCTGGGTTGGTACCTCTAAGTCAGCTAATGCCATTGTCCTCGTGGGGTACCAAAGACCACTGTCCCTTCATACCCTCTGGTTACTTGGTGTCAGTGCTACAAATCTTGATGTTGGGAAGTACAGATGGGGTGTGAGCCTACAGCCTCATAAAGGTTGTGCAGAGACTTGGTTATCTGTTCAGGAATGGGGAACCTGAACAAGTCCCCCCACTATGCTCCACTTTCCTCATCTGTCCAGTGAAGCCAGTGACAACTCCCCCTCCCCCTACACACACAACCTGCCAGGGACATTGAAGGGTGAAATGGAGTGGAGCATGCTCTCAGGAGCATGGAGGACCACATTTAGTTCAGCTTAACTCAGTATCTGTGGTTCAGTTAAATTAGGATTCTCCTTGAGGATGTGCCCAGGGTCTGTACAGCCCAGACTCACACTCAGCTTGGTTAGAGGTCCAAAGGAGCCTCACCCAGCAGGGGCAAAGCAGGCCCTCCGGCTGGCTGTCACTCCAAACACTGTTCTGTGCCAAACCTCAAGGAACCAGAATCTGGCAAGACCTGTTTATGTCTCTACATTTTTCAAAGTTCTAGCAGACTGAGAACTTGACCCCTGGCAGGGACTTGGGGATGTAGCCAGGGTCTGTGCAAGCTACAGGAGCATTTCGGGTGGGGACTGGCTTGTTTCATCTCATGAAAGCTGAAAGATGTGATGCATATCTCTTCCCACTCTCCTGTTCAGTCACTTCAGGATGAGGGCCTGCTATAGACCAGGGTGGAAATATTGATGCCATGGCAATTGGCAAATAATAAAAATCAGGACTTTCCAAGCCCCCTCTCCCAGAACCGGATGTTAGCACAGCACTGAGGAAGTGAGGAGTAATCCCTGTATCTTAGGCATCCCCCCTGTAGGTGAAGGTTCCCTGTTGTCAGGGTAGGAGGGTAACAGCAGATGTGGGGAACCAGGGCTTCCCACTAAATGCTGAACAGCATTCATGGCCACCCACCTGGGACCCCATATAGCTAGATATAGCATCTACATTATAGGGTTGACCAGGGTGTGCTTTCTAGTACTAGCAAGATTAAGTCACTAAACACTGCAGACAACACCTGAGAGGAAGTTAAGCAGGCAGTGCAGGGAATACCAATCACTGCATGGGCTCTCAAGCCTGGCGCCTATTTGGAATTACCTAGGGAGAAAGAAAAGTGCTGATCTTGGGCTGGGAATGTAGCTCAGGTAGTACAGTGCTTCTCTAGCATGTGCAAAGCCCTGGCTTCCATCCCTATCACCGCATAAAACAGGCATGGTAATGTACACCTATAATCCCAGCACCAGGGAGTTGAAGCAGGAGGATCAGAAATTCAAGGTCATCCTCAGCTACATAGCAAGTTTGAGATGTATGAGACCATGTCTTTAAAAGATGATGGGGGAGGGAGGTTGGGAAGATGACTCAGTTGGTAACATGCTTGCCTCGAAAGCATGAGGGCCTGAGTTCAATTCTCAGTACCCACATAAAGCTAGGTGTGTTGGTGTGAGCTTTTTTAATTCCGGCACTGAGAAGGCAGACACGGGGATGCCTGGGCTCACTGGCCAACCAGTTCAACCTAACTGAAGAGTTCCAAAGAGATGCTATGCCCCAAAAAGAGGTGGATGGTGTTCCTGAGGATGACACCATAGGTTGTCCCTGGCCTACAGACATACCACACACACACACACATTTTTAAAAGTACCAATCTAACCGGGCGTGGTGGTGCATGCCTTTTATCCCAGCACTTGGGAGGCAGAGGCAGGCGGATTTCTGTGAGTTCAAGACCAGCTTGTCTACATAGTGAGTTCCAGGCCAGCTGGGGCTATACAAAGACCCTGTCTCAAAAAGACCAAAAGTACTAATCTTGTACCCAGGCTCCAGATGGCCTGGGCATCAGGACTTTTCAAGCCTCAGGTGATTCTAAGATGCACCTGGGGTTGAGAGCCACTGTGTTAATGGCAAAGGCCACCAGTCAGGAGTTTGTTGCTTGGTTCTTGTTTGTAATGTTGAGAGCTATAGAATGGCCACTGCTCAGCATCCCTAGAGATCACACCATCTAGAATGATGGTGAGGACATGAATAGCAGCAAGGGCATGGCAGTTGAGTTTCGGGGTTGGTACCCTGTTTTACAGATGAGTGGGGCATCCAGGCTGGGGCTTGGTGAAGGATTGAAACCATCTCTCTGACCTCTGGGCTACCTGTTGCTATAGTGATAGGATGAGATCACTGATGACACAGGACAATTTCTCAGCTTCCTTACATGCTCCAGGCCCCAGGGGATGCATGGTGAAAAGAACACTGGGTTATTTCTATCATGGAAGTCTCAGCCTGAAGAGGCGAAGCATTAGCAAACACCCCTTAAATAAAAGTGGGACAAGGAGCCACAAAGGAGAACAGAAGGCTGAAGGGGAAGGTGGGATCTTCAGGTTGCTCCCTAGGCAGGGCTTGGGGAAGAACCTTCCAGGCTAGCGGGGCATTGCATAAAAGGTGGCATCTCAAGTTATCAGTGCAACTAACCATCCAGGCTTGTCAGGCACTGTCCTGACTTTAGCACTGAAAGTCTTGTCCTGAACAAACAGGAATGGTTGGTCACCCTGGCTATGGCTCTGCCCCACCAGGCTGCAGACCCCCCCAGTATATGGTGTAGAGACCAGCATCCCCCTTCCCCAGACAGTTTCACTGTATCCTATGGTCCACAAGGTCCTTGGCCATTGTTCTAGGCAGCCAAGGCCCTTAGCATATCAGTGGGGTAGATATGAGGGAAGATTGCAGGCCCCAGAACATGAAGTTCCTCATGAACCCCCTCAAGCTGACCTGCCGCCCATCTTGTCCATCCTCTGCCCCCAACCAGCCAGTTACAGTTCTTCCTACACTACCCTCTGGTCATGGCCACACTCAGAACCCACAGGCACTATTACTGGCCTCATTTTCTTCACTTAAATTCTTTTCAAAACCAAAATAAATATATTCCAAAAGGAAACCTCTCCAAGAAAATGCAAGCCATAAGATGGTAGCTTTTGGCTTGTGAGATAAATTTCTGTGCCAGTACAGATTTTTTAAAATACCCTTTAAAATTTTTCATTTACATATTGCCCCCTAGGACCAGCATACCTCCCAGGGCCCAAGCACATCCCAGAGCCAACTCCATGGGCTTGGCATGTACAGTCTGTCTGGCCCCACTTGGCTCAATGTCCTACTGTTGTCATCTTGAAATTCTGATGTCTTTTGAGCCCAGGACCTTGTCCTGAACCCTGCTAGTGATGCAGGCTGGTCCTGATGCCACCTGCCTTATTCTGCCATGATGGGAACCCCAGCCTTGGAGACTGAGAAGGCAAAGCACAGCTGCACAGCCCCCACCCTTATCTCTGCTGCTGCCCATACACTCTTCAGCCCAGGGGTTTGCTTTTCCCCTGGCTGTGTGGCCTCAAGCCTCAAACTCATGCCTTGAACAGGCCTCTGTAGACAGAGCTGGAGCCTCAGAAAGTGCTGAGACCTGAGCCCCAGCCTGGAGCCTCCTAGGGGATCACAGTCCATACCAAGCTTGTGTGCCAGCTCATGACCTTTGAATTATCTGGTATCTGTGCTGGGTCCTGGGCCAGGTCTGAGGTAGCCTCTGTCCCCAGATACACTTTGCCTAGAGTTACCCCTAAAGCCCACATCTTCACACCCCATATTCCCAGAACCTTGGGGAACCTTCCTATAATCTGCCCTCCTGGGAGCCCAGACAGGTTGGCCTCTGGGCCTGCATGTAGTTGGCAGCCACCGCTGCTGGCTGGGCAAGTGAGGCCAGGCTGTGCTGTCACAGCAGTGACACTCAGCAGCTCTGTGATCCTTCCATTCTCCCCATTTGTGGGGAGGAAACTGCACCTCTGAGGGCACATGTGGCTTTCCCAAGGTTCCTAAGTTTCACAGTGGGGACTCCCTGCTGCAAAGTCTGAGCTAACTGCACCACTTGCTGCCCTGCTTCAGAAGGAGCCTGGACATATGGCAGTCCTGCCAGGGCTGCACCAAGCACCCAGGCCATCTGCTGCCTCTGGCATGATGCCCCAAGGCAGGTTCCTCTTGTGCCTTTACCCTGGTGCTGGGTGCACAGCATCTGTTCTCTCCATGAGAGTGAGAGGACCACAGACCCCAAACCATGATCAGTACACCTCTCATTTGGGGACAGGAGACAAGGCTTTGGAAACAGTTCTACTTTCCTGGTGCTGTGCACTTCAAGATAGCTGATGGGTATGAGGTACACAGGGATACCAGGGAGCATGAAGGTAGAACAGGTAACCTCTCACCCACTCAGCCCTTCCTGGAAAGAGACCATGGGGGGACCTGTGGATGTGTGTAAGCCATGGCAGGAAAAGCCCTGAACTAGACAGCAGGGCACCCCGTAGCCCTCATTTCACCCCAGCTAGGTCCCCTTGGTAGATGTGAGAGAGGGAAACTCGGGTTTGAGGACACAAACAGTGGGAACCCTCAGGAAGATGTCCCCTCTATTCCCCATCAGAACCTGGCTTAGGGACTTAGCAGCCACAGGTAGGACCTTATCTGATGGAGCCCTCTGCTTCTGTCAGCCCCGGGCTGTGTACTGCAAGGATGTGTTGGACATTGAGCAGTTCTCCACCGTGAAGGGGGTCAACCTGGACCACACAGACGACGACTTCTACTCCAAGTTCTCCACGGGCTCCGTGTCCATCCCATGGCAAAATGAGGTGGGCTGGGCAGTCCACTGGCTGTGCCACAAGAGGGATGGGTGGCAGGACAAGATAAGGGTGCATGAGGGATGGAAGAGTGGCTGCTAGGTAGGGATTGGAACAAGGTGACTGAGAAGGAACAGATGGGGAAAGCAGTGAGGTGCCTTCCCAGGGGGTCCGCTGGAAAGGAAGGGAAAACATGGCGGTTGCTGGAGGCACAAGCATTGAGTGAGGAAGTGAGCTGATCAAAATATAGTGGGGATGGTGGGCCAGTAGGTGATGGTAGATGGCTTAGAGGGGAGGAGTGTGCCTCCGACCAGTTCTGTTCTCACTGGAGTCTGTACATGGGTAGGCAAGTGGTGTGCTCGCCCACAGCAAGTCACAAGGGAGCCTTGTGGGGAGACAGGGCAGAGAAGGCAGGAATAATGAGGCTCAGGGGAAGGGGCCCGTTCCCCACCAGGACCCTCTCCAGCCCAAGTGACAGCCCTGTCTCTTGCTTGGTGTTTTCAGATGATAGAAACGGAATGCTTTAAGGAGCTGAATGTGTTTGGACCCAACGGTACCCTCTCACCAGACCTGAACAGAAGTCAGCCTCCAGAACCGCCAAAGAAAGGGCTGTTCCAGAGACTCTTCCGGAGACAGGTGAGAGACCCAGCCCAGCCAGCCAGGTCTCAGTCCCAGGACCCAGGCCCACTTCCACACAAAATGGTAAGATCAGAACTGTAAGATGCTCCCCACCTGTGGAGTCCAGCCACCCAGAGGGGTCAGTCAGCCTGTTCAAAGCCCCTATGGCCTCTGTCACTGATGGGACTCCCCATAAGGCAGAAGGGGCAGGGTCTCTGTGTTGACACTGTTGACATGGGGATGATTCTGGTCACGGGCTATGCCACACACTGAAGGAGGTTGAACAGCATCATCAACCTCTGCCCACTAGATGCACTGGCATCTTTTTTCCCCAGTTGTGATAACCTGAACTGTCTCCAGACATTCATTGCTAAAGGTCCTTTGCAGTACAAAATTACCTCTGTCTGGGAACCCCTACCCATGGTTCAATACCCCCACCTAAGGAGACTGTCCCTTTGGAAAAGACTTCCTTCTCTCCAAGCTTATCCATGAAGGAAGATTTGGTATGGACCAAGTGGATGAATAGTCCTGGGGAGGGAGTGTGAGAAGCCAGGAGCCCCCTTCCCGCCCCCAACTACAGGACAGCCGCAGAAGCACCCCCCTTTGGCCAGGCTCTTCAAGAAGCCGGGGTCCTGGGATTCCCATCCCAAAATCTGGGAGCCTCTTGGTATTTGGCTCTTTCTCCAGATCCAGCTGTGGTCCTTTGGCCTAGAATCTCAGCTCCATCTCTCACATAGCAGGAATGAAGGTGGCTGTTTATGGGGCAGAATTGTGGGTGAGGCTCCAGACTGGGCGCTTAATATTCCCCACACCCCAGCCTCCACCCAACAACTTACTCATTCCACCCATGTGTCTTGGCACCTTCTGTGTGCCAGGAGAGGGGATGCCTCACAAGCTTTGGGCATCCTCATGAAGTGTGAGCGCACATGTGTGTGCTTCCATTGCCTCATTTCACAGATAAGGAACCTGAGGCTGAAGGAGGTCAAAGAACTTGCCCAAGGTCACACATCCGGTAACCCCTCACAAAATATCTGTTATCAGGACATCAGGGCAGGAAGGCTCATCCCCAGGCTCATGGGAAGTATAGACTGAGCTCCCCACCACACAAAGTTTGTGGGTTTTCACATGTAAGTTTCACATCTTACTCTATAATACATTCATGTTTTGTAATATAACTTAAAATATTTCCATCAAGCGGCTGGAGAGTTGGCTCACTGGCTGCTTTTGCAGAGGACCTGGGTTCAGTTCCCAACACCCACATGGAGGCTCATAACCATCTATAACTCCACTTCCAGGGGATCTGACACCCTCTTCTGGCCTCTGTGGACCCATATATACATATTGATCCATATGAGGCAAAGCACTCATACATATAAAATAAAAATAAATAAAATAGTTTTTAAAATATCCTTCAGTAAAACTAAAATTCTAGAAAGAAATGACCTCCCCCCTCAGCCTCTTCTCCTGATCTAGGTTTTCTTGATTCCTTGGCTCTTCCAGGTACCAGCCAGGAGTAGCCTGCAGACACAGGTCTGCTGAGGAGACAAAGGTCAAAAAGCAAGAGAGAAGGGTTGGAACATTCTGGAATCTACTTCCCCCACCTCCAGAGTCCCCATGGATATGTCAGCCCTGGGGTTTGAGTTTATCAAAAACTGACTCACTCTCTCTCTCTCTCTCTCTCTCTCTCTCTCTCTCTGTCCCTCCCCTCTCCCTCTCTCCCCAGCATCAGAACAATTCCAAGAGTTCACCCAATTCCAAGACCAGATATAACCACCACATAAATTCAAACCACATCAGTTCAAACTCCACTGGAAGCAGCTAGCTTCAGTTCTGGCCTTGATGTTCATGGTAGAACCAGCTTGAACCCTTCTAACTTGGAAGCAGAGCTTGTGGCCAGTGGGGCTTCTACTCTGACCTGGTGGCCAGAGTAGTGCCCCAGGAACCAGAATAGGACACCGTTCACCCCTACAAGCCTCAAGGTTTCTCAAAGAAATTTCCACTTGGGTCTGTTTTCCAAGGCGGCCCCAAGCCAGGGTGGACTGGACTTGGCCTTGTCGAACATTACAGTAGAAACCCAAGGGGACAGACATGAGAACGTGCACGGATTTTAATAGTGTACTAACTAGAACTGAATTTTGTCTTTATTATTTTTAAAGAAAGTTTTGTAAATTTCTCTATTGTCTCAGTTTACATTTTGTATATTTGTATTTAAATGAAAGTCAGACTTCGAGGGTGTATATTTTCTGTGCAGCCATTGTTAAGCCATGCATTTTAAGACATTTTAGATGGTGGGGGTGGGGGTGGGTTACAAAAAATGTGACTGTAGACTTCAAGAGCCTCAAATGAGAAAATGTTTTTATTAAATGTAGAAAATGTTTCATCTTTAAAGGACTGATTGCATCTAACCATGTCCATCTCTCTAACCTTTTCATCAGTGTAGCCTGGCCTTCCTTGTTGGCTTGTAACAATCTGAATGTAATGTCCAAGACGTACCTGGGACACCCTCTTCCCCAAGTACCCTCTGTGGGCCACAAGGTGACTGGCACATGCGCTTCTGTAAGGAGACACCTGCTGTTGTGCTTCACCTCGGTCTCTTCTGCTGTGAGATGGTCAGTAGACAGACCAGGGAGTCCTCAGTCACTGGGCTCTGGCAGATCCTGGCTGCTAAAGCCAGTTGTTTTCATGACGTTTCTGTTGGTTTGGGAATTTTTGTTATATATTATTTGTAAGACCTGTGTACTGATGATGAAGACCTGACCTGTAAGCCAAGTGTCCCCAACCATGGAACTAGGGGGAAGCGAGAGTTGGGGACCATCCTGAGTGATCACCTCAAGTCTGAAGGGGAGGGAGGCTTACCTGGGGCTTGGTTAGTCATTATAGTGGTCACCAAATCTTAACACATTTGTGGTGCCCCATGTCACATGAAGGAGGTCATCTCTGCAGGAAAATGGGATGCCTGAGGAGAAATGCCCCAGGGGAGTTGGGGCCAGAGGCAGGTTCTAGTTGGGCATCTCAAAGTCTTAGGCATGAGTCACCCCTGGAGAATTCAGTGGCTTTGCCCAGATCCTGTACATTCCTGTCCAGCCTCTGCTGCCTAAGGAGGTGGCTAGGAGCAAATCTGCCGTTGCCTCCTCACTGGAACAGGGTGAGTGATGAGTGGCTAACCTCACTGCTCCCCTTGGTGTCTGAGCCCCAGTGTGATTTTGCCTCAAAACTGGTCTCAGCCGCCAACAATACTGGGGTTTCCCACAGGGCTGGCCAGGTGCTACCTGAATCAGCTCCTATTAAAATGTAGGTTCCTAGGCCACACCCCAAGTCTACCACTTGGTGATCTGGGAGTAAGTCTCAGGACTCTGAAGGTTTTTGTTTTGTTTTGTTTTGTTTTGTTTTGTTTTGTTTTGTTTTGATACAGGGTCTCATTATGTAGCCCAGACTAGTCTCACACTTGAAATCCTCCTGCCCAGCCTCCTGAGTGCTGGGCTTACAAGTGTGAACTAGCAAGGAATCTGCATCTTCACAGAGCTCATCAGATCGCCCTGATGCCCCATAGTGTGAGAACCTTAGGTCAGCCGAGGGCCTGTGGGTATGGCTGTCCCAAGGGGCCTCTGATTCTCTGAGAGGCCTGGGCCTGTAGGGAGGAGAATCTCAAACCCATCAGTCTCATATCTTTGATTCCAAGCTCTCCCCAAAACTTTACCAGGAAAAAAGGGGCCCAGTCTGTGGGACTGGTCATTAACTGGCCTCATTCACCATGAGAGAGAAGACTAAGCAGGCCTCCCTCGGAGGCCTCTGAGGTACAATATTAACTTCAAGTTCAGCCCCCAAGCTGCTTCTGCACCTTGAGCTAAATTTGAAGGGAATGCAAACAACTGTTTCCACGTCATCCTCCTAGGGTGGTCACCAGCCCCAGCCACACGTCCCTCACCTGCAGCCTGGCCTTCTGCCCACACGATTGCCCGTTTTGCCCTATTCACAGTCACTTAGGCCTCAAAGTCAAAGCCTTGTCCATTTGTAGCAGAGACCCCCCAGGGATCAAGAAGAACACAAGTCTGGCTACCATGTGTCCCTGTGATGAGGATGACAGTAGTCCTAATGCACAAACCTGTGCACTGACACTTAACCTTTGCATTCAAGTTTCTGAGTGCCCCTGAGAGGTAGGGGCAGTCACGTGGCCTATTCAGTCCTTGGTTTCTGTTGGCCTATCCATGGCTTCATAGCAGAGAACAGTGCCTGAAAACCAGCCCTCCTCCCAACTGAATCTTCTTCCCATCTTGGTTTCTATAGCTGCATTTTAAAAAGGGATTTTAAAATATAGAAAGACCATTTGCCCTTTCACCTGTCTAGGGGAAGGCTTATTTGGACAGTGAAATGATGATATGCTCTCATAGATTTGAGCTCTTTGCAGAAGAGCTTTGCTCAAAATGTGACATTTTTCTCACAGACTTAGAGTAAGACGCATCTCTTTGGGTTAAGAAAATCTCTGCACACCTTTAATTCCAGCACTCGGGAGGCAGAGGCATGTGGATCTCTGTGAGTTCCAGGACAGCCTGGTCTACATAGTGAGTTCCAGGCCAGCTGGGGCTGCAAGGAGATCCTGTTTCAAAAAAAGACAAAAAAAATTTAAATAATTAAAAAAAAGCATCTTTGCTTTCACTGTTTGAGACAAACCTCTGTAGGAGAGAGAGCAGTCTCTGCCATGATCACTCTGACTTTTCAGTGTTTGCCAAGCCCTTTGGGGGAGGCCTGAATAGCACCCCAGAATATCAAGGAGGCCTGGCCTTTGCTTTCTTATCATTGCCCGTTATTGAGCCTGGTTGCGGTCACAGAGCTTGCTGGTCTACTGAAATGCATTGCTGTCTGGGAGGGGCAAGCAGAAGTAATCCTACCACAGAGACACAAGCAGGTAGACTCACTGACAGGTGTGCCTCACAGGCACCACCCCATAATGTTGGCGGTGAGTTCCGGGGACATGTGCATGGCAACCTTTTCACATCAGAAGCACAAGTGAGATGGGGCTGCAGCCTCTGAGGAAGCCAAGGTCAGGAAGTTCCATGCTTCTCCAAGGAACTTAGCCTCACTGATGAAATCCATACTTTCCTTCCATCCCTGTCCTTTCTTGAAAGACTTGGGTCATCAGTTCCACTTTTCAACTGACTCACTGAACTGCTGACCTCAAAGCAGCAGGCACCACAGCTTTCTGGAGCCTGGAGTCCCAGGCCTTGACAGAGAACATGGCGGCTTCATGGACAACTGGAGGTCCCAAGAGAGGAAGAGAAAATGTTGGTGCAAGGGACACTGGGCTCTCCTCTTGGGCTGTGTGCTTGCTTTTCCCACTGACGCATTGTATTTTTCCTCAGTCTCCTGTTTTCATACCCCCTACCCTGAGACAGGACTGTCTAACTTAGTCTTAGCTATAGAAAGGTAGTGTGAGATCTTTGTGTTTAGAAACCACATTGTCTCTTCCTCCAAATCACAACGTACCACAAAAGGGAAGCCTTGCCCCCCAGGGCACCTTCCACACCTGTTTGTACAACCAGCCACCCAGCTGTAGAAACTCACAGAAGTGAGGGCCAGACCCTGCAATGGGTACATGTGTAATTTAAAATGTGACAAAGTAGATTACTTTAGGAAGGAAATACACGTTCCTCCAAAGAAGATTCTAGATGTTTTTCCCCAGTCCATTGAGAAACCATTCCTATAGTAGATCAAAAGTAAATGTTCTTAGAAGAGCATTGTGGCTCTTGGTATTGTCCTAATAGCTCTAGTATCCAAAGGTTCCTTTCTTTTTCAGGGAGATTTTAGCATAGATGAATGAACATGTTTCCCTCTTGGAGGTCATCCCCAAAGATAATGCTTCTGTTGTGCTGCTCTGACCCTTTGTGTTCCGTTCACTACGCCACAGTGCTACTGTGTCTAGCCACAACCACTGTTGTTGTTTTATAAAGAGAAATAAACTCCTTAGTGAACATAGCATTGCCTTTCTTTCCTTCTGCTGAGGCACTAACCTCCTGTCTTTTGTGTGTGACAGCTGCCTGAAAGATGTTCACACTGGCAGCTGAGGCCCCTGGGTTAACCTTTCCTCAAGCCGGTGGTTCCACCCCACCCAAATCTGACCACCACACCGACCATGCCCTGAACTGTTCTCACACGACTCCGTTAGGAAGCCATTGAGCACTTACCAGGCCATTGGCTTTTGAACCCAGACCCAGCAGATGATTCCAGAAGACTTCCAGACACGGGGACAAAGTCAGGCCGTACAGAGTTCTGTTCAGCCTTCATGTGGAGTTGCCAGCAAGTAGGGCAGCCAGATCCAGGGTCCTGAACCTCTTGATCACTCTGTGGTCTTGAGCAGGCTGCTCTGGGCCTCTGTGCCTACACTGTTAAAGCCTCACCAGGTGATTCCTGGAGGACTCTATGAGAACAGAGGGGATTCCCAGCACCAAGGTCTGTGCCCTGGAAGACCTGGTCCCTTGGCTGTCTCTGGATCCCTTCTGATCTGGACCAAAGAGGGTAACAGACCCCATGTGCATTCACACAACTGCCCCTTGTAGGAGATAGGTGCTTGCCCAGCAGGCACTTGGCAGAAGAGAGAGCACAGAGTAGGGACTGCAGGTTTGAGGCTCCTGTCTTTCTGGAGGTTTGAAGGTCCTGTCTCTCAATGTGAGTTCTGGGGTCCACACTACATCTCCCATGCACAACAGGAATCACAATGCTCTTTCCCCTGGCTCCTAGAAGCAGACACCTTCTTAATTAGAAGGAAGAGTTGAGGAGCTGGAGAGATGGCTCAGCAGTTAAGAGCACTGACTGCTCTTGCAGAGGACCCGGGTTCGTTTCCCAGCACCCACATGGCGGCTATGAACCATCCTTAACTCCAGTTCTAATGCCTCTTCTGATGTCCGTGGCATTGCACAACACAGGTGCACTCACATACATGCAGGCAATACACTCATACACATAAAAATAATATCTTTTTAAAAAAGAGTTGAGACAAAAGCTGTCTGTGGGACTTTGGTTGGAAATGGAAGGAGAGGAAGAAGGGCCATGGGATGGGGTGGGAGGTTGTTGGTCTTTAACTGAGAAAGGAATGAGAGAGGAGTTGTTGAGCTGCAGAGCTGAGTAACCAACTGACCGACAGGCATGCGTAGGAAAATCAGAGAGAAACAATAGAGGAGCCTGGGGACAGGGACCTCACCAGAAATTGGGGCTGCGGTACTTCCCTAGCCTCCTGGGACCCTGTATTGACTTGGGGACTTTCTTTCACCACTCTAAAAAGCCCACTGCCCAGCCTCCCAGGCCAACAGAAGCTGCCATCCCTCCTGGACACAGGGTTTGAGAACCTACAGTTCCACGTACTGCCCACTCAGACTTCCCACAGCCCACCTCACCATTACACTGCTCTGCAGGCAGACAGGGTGGCTGGGTGGGAGGAGGTACTTGTCCACCACCTCCATCATCCTTATTGCAGACAGCTGTGGACATTAGAGGGGGACTAACAGTCTCCATCTGGTCCATTCCCAGGAGAGGCTGGAGGCAGGTTCCCCAGGGCACCTGGGAGTTTCAGGCTCTGGCTGGGATCTAGCTAGATCCTGGAGACTGTGATGAGGAGAGGTTGGGTCTTGAGAACCCTTAAATCACAGCAGGATGGGTTTCTATGCCATGATGCACAGGGATTCTTCAAGCCAAACAGTAACTAAGCCTGTGTTCAGTGGTCTTGGGGATACAACAGGAGAGAGGCCTGCTCTGCTTCCTGAGGGAAAGCTACAGAATGTTTGGGTAGACACATTGGGGCAGGGAGACACACAGCTAAGCTTCTCCCACTTTAAGGACCATGGTCCATCTGGGCATCTTGGATTCAGGTTCAGTTGGCTGGGGTGGGTTGGGGTCTGCCTCCCTAACAAGCTCCCAGACTACATTTAGAGAGAGGCTGAGGTCTAGAGTCATATCAGAACCTATGTTCCCGGGTCCACCCCCTCTGGGCCCTGCACACTGAGGTACAGATGTTTTACCAGTGTGTGCTTTGCTGCAGCAAGCCCAGCAAATGAATACATCTACTCAGCCATCACCTGTTCCTGGATCTTCAGACTCCATAGCTGGTGGTGTGGAGTGGAGGTCACAAATATGAACTTGCTCCATCAGAGAGAATTTTATCCAGCCTCTACCGCTTGCTTTAGCTGTAAAATGGGATTCATAAGAGAACTGTCCCAAGAGATGTGGGTCGAATGTGAGTGTGATGCTGGGTATTCAATGAATACTGTCTCTTGGACTAGGAAAGTGGCTCAGCAAAGTGCTTGTTCCACAAGCATGAGGATCTGAGTTGAATCCCCAGAATCCAGGTTAAAAAAGGCTTGGTGACACCATGTGCTTTTAATCCCAGCACTGGAAAGATGGGGACAAGAGAGTCCCTGGTCACTGGCCAGCCAGGCCAGCAGAATCAAGAGCTCCAGCTTTGGTCAGAGATCTTGTCTCAAAAAAAGTGGGGCCTGGAGAGATGGCTCAGTGGTTAAGAGCACTGACTGCTCTTGCAGAGGACCTGGGTTCGATTCTCAGCACCCACATTGTGGCTACGAACCAGTTCCAGGGGAATCCGAAGCCCTCTTCTGACGTCCGCGGCATTGCATGACACGGGTGAACTCACATACGTGCAGGCAATACACTCCTACACAAAAAGCAAGGTGGATGGCATCTGAGGAATGACGCCCAAGGTTGACCACTGGCACACAAATAAATAAAATATCTATGTTTGGCAGATGGAAGGCATTCCAAATGAAATTTCTAGCCACCACACATTACATTTATTCTCTCGCTATTCTGGAGGATGAAGATGGGATGGATGAGAGAAGCCAGTTTTGCAGTCTCTAGGTATCTGAAGGTTCTGGGTCAGGCCTGAAGCCTGGGCTGGTGGCCTTCAGAATCTGGAAAGGGGTCTCCCTCCTTAAGAGGAAGTGCCTGCTAGGTGGAGGCACAGGAAAGGGACAGGGTATCCCAGACTGAGGCAAAGGGGTTCTTCTTCCTCTAGGGACTCACACCATAGGGCTAGGAGCAGTGATGGGTCTTCTACCCCAGCCCACCCTCTTAGAATTCAGGTTCAGAAAGGCAGAGAGAGCTTTTACCTTAGTTGAAACTTTTCTCTCTCGTGGGCATGTGAGAGAGCACAAACCTTAAAAAATCCTTCCCTCTGACCCTCCCAAATTCTTCAGTAAAGGCTGTGAGATAAACCCAGGAAAGAGCGATTAGCAGGAGAAAGCCATGCCAAAGAGAAGACTGACGTATGTATTGCCTGACAC